GATGTATTTGCGCATATCCAACAAGTCCGGCTCAAGGGATTTAGCGATGATGACAGGAAGCTGGTTTGTTTTTGGAGGAACTTTTTCTGTAGTTTTACTTTCAGTACTAGATTATGAAGATGATCGATCAACAAGTCTCGAGCAGCGCTTTCTTCCCGCCCTCATTTATCTAACGCGGTTTGAAACCGATCCACAAAGTCGGGTAACAGTTCTCCAGATTCCTGTGAATGGGTTTTTAACATAAACCATGCAGCATCCTCACTGACTTCATGGAACCTTACTAGGAACGCTCTCTTGAATGTATCCCAATCTACCCATATATGCCTTCTAAACCAATGATGTGCAGTGTTTCGGAGAAGCAGGGTGATGAGACGAGGGAGGTCCTCTGCACCATATCCCTGAGCTTGCACGACTTCAAGCCATGCCTCGGGATGGGTATGGTTGGGGTAAAACGGGAAGGTGGCGGGGATGCTTACCATCACCCGAGGAGCCACTCCATTAGCGTCAGCCATGGGCATCTCTGGTCGGGTTTCCGCGGACCTCTGTCGAGTGACGGTTAGATCGGTTGGCTGGTCTTCCTCACGTCAACTCGTTTTAGTAACGTCAGAACCAACACGTGTCGGCTCCGATACCAATCTCACGCCCTCCGCTGCTTCCCAACTGGTGTATTTTGGTTCGCGGAAGGGCCCCGAGAAGGCAGCGAAGATGGGAGGTGTGCCAAGGATTTTTGAAAAATTGAGTGTGAGGACACAGACAAAACTGAAATCCCCCGTGTTGGTCCGACCTTAGTAAGAAGAGGTCTGTTGTCGCGAGGGTTCAAGGCAGAAAAAGGCGCACGAGGGACTCGCGCCTATGGGAAATTCAATCCAAAAAGCATCGCTGAACTTCCCAGCGAGCCATCGCTCTTCATTTCGCGTGAAAAGGGGCGGGTACACACGTGGTATCCCGCTTACGGATGAGGTCTTGTCGGCGCTCGGTACACAACTCCAAATCCGACGTGGAGGGCTTCAATCGAGCAGCCCCTCTCCTTGTGCTCTTCCTCGCCACGTGTGCGGTAGTGAAAACCCTTGGCTCGGTAACGCTCAAAGCGGCGACAATCGCTGCACAGAGTGTTCGACCAATGAAGCTCCACTGTCGTCCACGGGACGACGATCAATTCGTTAAATGGCAATAACAATGAATAGGGCGGAAAGTGCGTACCAACAATAACAAAACTTGCACTGACAAATCCCGAACACCAAGTTTCGGGACGAAAGTAGTAGCGCCCGCCGATCTTAGCGACCACTTCTCGTACGTCCCACTCACATACACGTATCCTTTCCTCGTTGAACGGGAAGGGGCGTGGCAGAGGTACGGGAAGTTGGCGCCAAGTCGGGTTGGGGCCGTCAGTCCACATGGCAACAAGGCAAAAATCCTTCTCAGTCATACATCATCCATTCGACACTTTAAGTAGCCAGATCATCCATTCGATCAACCAATCATCATCTCAACCATGTTATAGCAAGCTCTCTTACACGACCCATTGCATGCACACATCGAGGTGAGAGAGGTAAAGCTACTGCAATCCATCCATTACATAAAACATAACAGGGGGAGAGGGTGAGGTAAAATAGACGCAGATCATAGAGGAGGAAAGAGTAGAGAGCAATCAAAGAAGGGTTCGCGATCTTGTCAAAGGAAATTTCATATTAGAAACCGAGTGATTATAACTCACGCTCGCAGGACAAAAAGGAGAGGCACTTCCGCCATAAGATTCCACCATGGCCCCAGGCCATGCATTCACTCAACTCTCAAGTCGACCCTCTCATAAGCACTGACGTATCCCGACCGTCACGTGCTATTCCCCCGTAGCGATAGTCACCCCGCCAACTTAGTCTCTGCACTGTCTGGCCCGGATCCCACAATCCGGCGGACGATTAAACGCACTACCAACAAGACTAAAGTCAGTCCGTCAGGATTCTTCGACTCGCTCTTCACACACACCCTCTAGCCATTGCTTCCTGAAAGTTGGCAGACGAGTTGAGAGAAAGATTTTCGGGAGCGCCTGCAAAATTTATAGTTGCGAAAAAGGAGATGGACGCTAGGAAGGGTTAGGAGTGAGGTAGGGAGGGGTAGGGGGAAATTTGGGTATAATCGACCGTCGAATGCCATGTCGATCCTTTGGATCCTAGTCGTGGCCAATCAGAATCATCGTGTATCAGGATTTTCCTTCTTACACGACGCGTCTCCTTGGCTAGAGGGAGTCGACAGAGTATTTCGGTGCGGGGATTAAAGCGGAAAGAAGGACAGGGAGAGGGATATCGCGAAACGAAACCAAGATTCAGATGATCAAGAAAGAGAAAAGGCGCGTGAGGTGAAGGAGAGATGGAAAACGGTTACAGAGAAAAGGAGAGGGAACGCGAAGAAAAGAGTGTTGAAGGTAGCGAGGGAAGCAGGGAGGGAGAGGAGGTTCGCATGCATGGCGCCGACGCAAGGGCAAAAAGGGCACCGAAACAGCTGCAGCTAATTCAAAATTGACAAGTACCATGTCCGCGCGTAGGGCGAGCACGGGAAAAGTCTTAGGCCTATTCATATTCCTACGAGAGTTCCCAGAGTTTTCCAAGACGAAGTCGAGAGCGTTCATGCACAAGAAAGGACACGTCAGGTTCCACTTATTCCGTAATTCCTAACTGTTCGACCCAAATTCCGAGCGCGCTCGCTAAGGCGCGCGTAATTCCCATGCATTTCCCGAATTGCAAAAGATGAAATTCTCAAAAACCGATCCAAAAATGACGAAGGTCCTGAGAAGGACGGACCTCCTTGATAACGAACAATTTACATGAATTCATGGAAATGCAAAAAAGAGAGGCCCTGTCCGCCTGTTTGCAAGACACAAGAATTCGAAAAGAGAGAAGGGGGGGGGGGGGGGTTGGAAGATGGCGCAGGTCTGGAAGCTGGCGCGTCAACATATCGTATCCGTGCATAGGTGGCCATATGCCTTGTGGCGGAAGCACCATGGTCTGAGCTTGTAGGCTGTATGGATTCTATACTCCTTTGATTGCACCCTGTGCAGGATTATGCCATCCATCATAAAATGGTTGTGAGGATGGGAAATCCACGGCAAGCATGAAATAATCATCCCTCATGGAGGCTAGGGGGTCTTTGAAGTCAACAATGTCATAGTGCTCCCCGAGATCATGGATAAAAGCAACTTGAATCTCTATGGGGATGTGTCTAAGGTCTACCCAATAATTGTCTACCGCGTGGGCGGGGAACGCAGCCCTAAGGTAGCCAAATTTATGAGACTAAGAGCTAACACGAGAGAGAGAGAGAGAGAGAGAGAGAGAGAGAGAGAGAGAGAGAGAGAGAGAGAGAGAGAGTTTTGTTCCGTTTGTTGATACGAGTGAGAGA